CTGAAAAAAAACGGAAAAATTTATTCAGAACAGAAATCATGCCGTTGCTAATATTAGGTAGACAATAGGTCATTTTCTTAACGTTAAGAATTTTATTTGATCTTCTTCGAAATACCATACGTATTACTACCGACAACATTTTCTCTTCGATCAGAGTGGCCGAGTTAGCCAAAGAGTGTCAATGACCTTCCACAGTCAAGACCAGCAGCAAAGGGCAGGAACTTCGTTAAGTAAGCTACGGAACGATTCGTGAAGAGAAAAATTTAAAAAAAAAATCCATGCTTATTTCTTAAGTATTTATAATGATAAAAGAACGCGAATTACTGTCCAGCGACAGCACCTCTCTTGACTGACCCATTTAGTGGTGATTACATAACCATGTATTCAACTCATAGCTTGATCACGTACCTACTACCAACGGAAGAGATATAAAAAAATCCTGACGTAGAACTACACAACACATAGTTGAACGAGAGAGTTTAATTCTGACCTTCAAAAGTTTAATATTGAATTGAACATAAGGTGAGCAATTTACGTAACTAGGGTATAGTCAAGTACTCTTTCCCAAGAGGGTGTCAGAAGCGATCAGAATGACTCCACTCACTCTATTGTGTTAATACATGCATACTCTCAGTGTATAGAAAGCAAATGCAGGGCTTCTGTAATCTATTTGTTACTCCAACGTTGCGAGATGACGATAACACAGTGACTGTGGCCTGATAAAAACGCAAATCAGTGGAGACCTCATTTAATTTCCATTCATCATCTTTAACCCTTGACTCCGAAGGCCACTTAACATAATTAAGATTCAAGAAAAGCCCCAGATCTCATTATGGAAATTGCTGACATACAAATAAGCAGTTATCCACCACATGATTTGACATCATGCGCTCCAAGCTTAAAACACACCGTAATAACTACATAATAAATCTCTATGATTCAATCTAAGTGTCTAAAGGTTAACAGCTTTATCCACTTCTTGACTTGGCGGTTGTTAATTAGAAAATTTTACGCTGACCATTTTCGTCACCTTAACCCTAGTCCTTAACACTTGAGAGACTTAAGGAATCAAAACTGAAATTAAAGCCACTTAGGGTAACCCTATAACCACGTATAAATTTCATTGATATGATATCGAACATTCATTTTTCTCGAAAATTTTGCAAGATCAATCTATGTCAACGGTTGATTACCAAATCGCCAAAAAAAACGCGACTCAGGTTGAGGGAAGAGTACAGAACTAACCGTCTCGAAGAAAATGAAACATTTGTTGTTAAATAAAACAGGTTAAAAAATTGCTATAATTTTTTAAGCGCAAATCTTCTTGCACATACTATATGTGTTTCTCGGAACGCTTTCTTCTGAACAAGTTCGAACCCTTACCAACCCAAAACTGACCCCGAACCGAGGTGGGTGTTCTATTCAATGAGCTTAGGAGCGACTCGCGGATTAGCCTTTTTCAGGCTCTCAGATAGTGGGGAAGACGCGAAAGTAAAAGGTACTCGAAAAGTTGGCGGGGCGAAAAAGGGGAAAAGGAGGGGCCCAGTTTCCTCCCGTTTTAATTTCGTCTTCGCGCTTTCTCAATTCAGCGGGCCCGACTATCTCGGAGCCTGGAACAGGCTACTCGCGGAGCTGACCATAAAGTTGTCTATGTAAATAAATAAATAATCAAAATCTTCATACAGTAAGTCGCCATCACCGATGGTAGTTTTCAGACGAGACCTATGCTTATTGTTCACTGTTATCGAGTGATAAATGAACGCGAATTGCAACCTCTCAACCCAAATGATGATTACGTAATAACCTTTTATTTAGCTTTGTGTATTCAATTTATCAGGGACACCCAGCGACTGTTTTCTGTAAAATATCTAATCGGAGAAGCAAATATTGCCAAGAATTTTCTATTGCTTGAATACGGCTAATAATTTCTAGATGAACGTTCCATTCAGGTACTATTTTCGAAGCTTATCTACAAATTCCTCAAGATTTTCTGAAGTTTAATTTTTCATATTTTTACTCCTTTTGTTGCGCGAATTTTCGCACGAAAAGAAAACCTAAAATTTTCGGATTCAAACATTTGATGGAGAGAGGAATATAAAAAATTCTCACTTTCGTAAAACGTGCAATTGCTCCTAAGATTTTCTGGAATATAACACCGTAAGCCCTCGTTCGAAGTGCCTCAGGTTCCCCTAGCATGACCAAACAGATGCAAATTTTATAGCGCCGCTTAGAATGGATTTCTAGAGATTTAAAAGTACTGATAGTCTAAAGACACTTTTCAGTGCATTTAGGAGGAAACCATCGTTGGCTGCTCCTGATTTATGGCTTGATTACGTACCGACACTGGTTCGGCGAAAAAGCCAGTGAAAGGCGATTAGTGTTACCCAAATCTCTCATGCGCTAAAACCAAACGCTTCGTTTAAAATCGAAAAATCCATGAGCCGCTGCAATCTACTCTTTGGTATATCAAAACTGTGGCAAAACGATCATGAGAAAGTGTTTACGGCCACAAGTAGACCTTATTAAACATCTAGTCATCATCACCCTTAACCCCTGACTCCGAGGGACCCTTAACATGAAAAGGATTCAAGAAAATCCCCACATTTCATCACTGTCGGAATTGCTGACATACATCGACCAAGTGAAAAACCTCCTAATTTGATTGAGCACATCACAGGACTTAAGTCATGCACTATGCCCGACAAGACTTTGCAAAGTTAAAACATACAATTCACCTTAAGTGTCTAAAGGTCAACAGCCTTATCCACCTCTTAAATTAGCGGTTTTTAACCACAGAAAACTAATGCTACAGCACTTTCGTCAAGGGTATACCACATGTTTTCATACTAGACCATTTTCTCTCTAGAGTGGCTTTTACTGCATGTAATGTAGATGGAAATCAACCCTCCTCAGTCCTGATGAATGAAGAAGTTTCGAACCCCGTTACCCCCTAAATTAACCTTCCAAATTAACCTTGAGGGCTCGGGTGTGCTCTATATTCTATGAGCTAGCCGTGAGCGAGTTGCGGAGAGCAAGTATGTAGAAAATTTTGCCGTGCTTCTTGTTCAATGTAATGAAGTGATAAAATAGCGAGCATTACTGTCGAATGACAACCGGGTCTCTGAAATATTGTGATTACGTAACCTTGTCAGTTCTACTCTGTGGCTTAATCAAGGTGGCTCGATCACGTACCTAAGTACATACCAAAGGAAGAGAGAAAGAATCATATAACAACATAGCTCACAGTGAAATTACAAAGTGAAAGCCTTTAAAATCGTCTTAGAATTGATTCGCAAGCAAGGTGAACAATGTAAAGTTACTGGGGTGGTCAAGCACGGTCTTGCGCATGAGAGGTATCATTCAAAATCAAGTGATTGGAGTTACGCCACTCGTTCTTTCACACCATGCCTTTATACCAAATTATCTGTACAGAAAGCGAAGCGAAGGGTTTTGCCAACATCTACTATTTATTACTGTAGGGCTGTGACAATAACGCCACATAAACACGTTTAGACATAAGGAGGTGAAGCTGCAGTATCTCATATTAAATACCCATTCATCATTCTCAACCCCTGACTCAAAAGGCCACTTTACATAATTGACATTCCGCGAGAAAATCCCCATATTTCATCGTGAGAATCGCTGACATTATGTATCAATCAAACCACCTAAGTACTGCTGAAGAGGTTTCATTTTGAAGGCAACGGTCAAAGCTTTTAGTCAAAGGTTGAGGACAAAAATGTCAACAGTTTCAAGGTTAACGATCTTATAAACCGTCAAAAATGCAAGTTAAGATTAACCGTCAAAAAGCTTCAATAAAGTTTTTCAAATCTCACTATTTCAGCTGATCTTCTCGGCAGTTCCGTCGGGCTCCTGAAGAATTTCTAAACTGGAAAAATCAGTTCTCATGTTCTCAAAAACACTTTTTCTCTGTTTCTAGTCTTTCTAAACATTACAATACCTCATTACAACCTATATATATATTTTTGTTTGCTTTCAGGTTAAAGGGGCTTAATGTCACGAGGATATGAATGATTTTCCAGTAATCGGAGACTTAGTTATGCGCACAGGACTATGGGATCGCCAAGGGGCAAACATTGCAAGTCGCTACAAAGAAATGTATGGCGTAGAGCTGTTTCTCCGTTTAAAACCAGTGTCTTTGGACAGAGAATGCCGCATTTTGCCGTGATTTTATGAGAAGCGGAGGTGACTAATGTTGGTGCGTTGATTGTAAGTTTTTGTGGGATCAATGCGATGAAATCTATCGATAAACACTCCTTCTCGCGAAAGGTCGACTGTGAAATTTACTGAATGGTCTCGAAATATATAGTACTAACTTACCAGGTATAAATGAGCGGGGATTGTGGACTCATTTATTAAGCCTTTCCAGTTGTAAGTACATGTGCTGATATGTTTTAGGTCAATTCTGTGCTGAAGACATTCACTGCTTAGTTCTTTTACCAATACACAAAATCACTCTGTAGCGTTTTTTTAAAAAATTTACGAAGCGGTATCAAACAAATTTCACCAGGAAGCAGTAACAATGAGTTTTGTTTTTGGTGATTTTAATTTGCAGGTATAAATTAAAACTTAACAAGGTTGGCCCAACTTTTTTAAGTTTTAATCCATGTCAATCTTTGCCAACCGTTGCATTAACAGACAACAGGAAACGGTTTCAATCCCTAAAATATAGTCTTAAAAATAACAAAAATGAACCACAGCAAGTAGCGTGACTTAGAACCTTTAATCGTCCAAATAAAGGTCGCATTAAAAAAAGGC